TAATAAATATTTGTTCTGTCTCTCCTCTGAACTGCTAATGAATAAGGATTAGTAATGTTTTAGGTGAAAACTAGGTAATTCAAAATATACTCTTGGGCTGCCAGCTCAATCCACAATACCATTTTTCAGCATGCAGCAGTATTTTTCACCAGTAATGTTAAGCCTCCTTAGAAATGGAGATTTCAAACAGAGAAAGGAATAACAGGTGAAGAAGGAACGTACTTAAATCCCATTTGACTTCAGAGTGGTCATCTGTGTTCAGTTAACCAGGTGTTTTCGCTATTTCCAATAGGCTTATAAGTACTGAAAGAGCTAAATTAGCTCTACAGAGTTGTCAGTAGTCATGAATAATATGGGATTAAAGGTATAGAGTAGTGCTCTGATTCCCCAGATTTCAGTCCTTTACTTGGCAATGTATAATAAATACCTTGGAAACCGCTTTTCTCATTAATCAAGTGCTGGTAGATGTGGCAGTGAAGGTGTTACTGCAAATTAGCAGAATTTTCTAATCACCATTAATGTGACTGTTACAGTAAAGGTATCTGACTGACGAGTCTTAGAATCTCACCTCATTATAAGAGAAACCACTACGGTTTAATAGTCTTAATTTAGGTAACAGTACATATTGCCTGGTCAATCTTCTTTTGAAGGTGGAACAAAATCTGTGGCCTTTGCGAGAGACTCATTAGTTAAACATGAAAAGCTTTGATATGGCAGAGTGTCCTTCTTTCCTCTTGTCAGCGCATTATTTTGTGGCACATAGAGCAAGTGGAGACTTTCAATGGGAGACAGGAAAAAGACTGTGCTAAATAATCGATCACATGGTATGAGCCAGGGCAAAAGAGTAATTATACATACCATGTGTGTGGAGGGATGAATGGGTGGATATGTGCAGTGTATCTCATACATATTTATATCTATATATGCATATGTATATACAAACTATGTTTATGTATGCACACTTAACTGTGGTACATATAAATGATTAATTTCAGAACTAGGAGACCAAATTATTCACATTACAGTTTTCAGCAGTATGATGACTTGAGTCGCAAGGTACTGAACGCCTGCAGCTCAGTGGGGCACTTCAGAAAATGGAGCTCTCTTAATGTTCCTCAACTTCATCTAGAAAAATGTTGATTTATCAACGATGATAGAGTACTGAGACCTAAAACAACATAAGATCAGGTTAAAAACCCTTCAGTTCTTTAGTACTTTAATGCTATTTGACTCAAGATATGCAAAGCCTTACACTGTTCAGTATGCAGCATGTAACTTCATGATGGTCATGCTTTTTTTCTTTCATTTCAGTTCATTTCAGTTCCAAATTATTATCTTGGAAATTGATCCTGCTTTCAGTGAAGTTAATAGCAATGCTGATCTCCTTTAATTGTGGAAGATCTGACCCTCACTGAACAGCAGACTTATTGAACAATAGGAAAACAATGCTATGAAGAGAATGTGGTTGCAATTTCATTTTTGAAAAATGTTCTCTCTTATGAGGGTATAGGATGAGATCAAGAAGATGAGTAAGATGTTAACTCCACCATAACATGACTAGCTGTAAGTTACTACCTGAAGCAGTCTAACAGAACAGTTTTCTTTGAGGCAACCTTTCTGAAAGACTATTCTGGTTCTATTTGTCAAACTGTATTTCTGGTGATTTTGCTCTCATATGAGATTAGTAGTGTTTCAGGAGGAAAAAAAAAAATCAATGTCTACTTCTGATTTTGAGGAGAGACAAAGCTTTAGGAGGAATAGGAAAGGGCTGCACTAGGCATACATGACAGCTAGAAAACAATGTTTCCAGAAAATATCACCTAATACGTCCCACCACTCCCTTTTCCTTCTAAGCAAAAACTTAGGTGAATTGATTGATCATTCAATTTTCCATTTAGATTTTCAAAAATTGCTGAAGAAGCAAGGTGGCTGGTAAAAGAGCTTTCTTTTGTTTTGAATAGGTGCTGTATCTCAAGCAAGAAGTATCTTAGACTGATCAGAGTCAGATATGATTACTCAACTTCAAATTAATCCAAATGAAGTAAAAATATTTTAGTCCCGTAAACCATTGTCTCTACGTGGCACTGAGGAGTGAAAAGTCTCTGCAGTCTATGTGACTAAAGAAATAACTTTTGGGATACACATTAGTGTAAACAGTGAGTAGACTTCTGTAATTAATTCTTCACAATAGCATTCAGATAGTAGTAGAAAAAATGGGAAAGGATGAGATGATGTGATTACATCACTCAAGGATCCTCAAGTTGTTTTGTTGGCTTGTTGTACAAATGCTGCCTTCTGCAGCAAGATCCGTAAAACATTCAGCTGCTTGTTTTCATGTTTCCTAGTTAACGTTTTCACTCACAGTATTTCAGCATTTCATGAATAAGCACCCCAAACACAGCAACTCTGGTGAACTCAGCGTCTGTTGGGGAGGTTAGCTCTCACTGGAGGTGGATCAGCTTACTGAAAATATAACAGATCTTTTATATTTTCTTCTACCCCGCTTAAATTATGTGCATGATTTAGAGAGAAAAATGGTTGAAGGCAAGAATTTGTAGGTAGTTTCTTCACAGAACTGATAATTAGACAGCACTGCAACAGCACCTAGGACTACAGTTCTGTTGCTAGCTTAGAGACAGAGAGGAAGAGATCCAAGTCAAACGTTTTTATTCTCAAATCTAGGTCTTATGGTAAAGCTGATAGAGTGATAGAGCACCTACTTAAAATGAGTACAGTTGGAGTAGAGCATTGACAGCAGTCTGTAAATTCTGATATCCAAATGGATGGCTTCTCCAAAGTTATTTCTTATATCTTGTAAGTAGGGCCACTCTAGCTTTATCTCTGCATCCTTAATGTGTCAGAGTCACTTGTCTTTGAACGTAGACTCTTTAAGGTTTTGACTTCACTTCTTTTCATAGCATTCTCTTGTGATGTCATATTTAAATAAAGTTAGATGTGGGTTTTTCTAGGAAAAAAAGTTATTTTTGTTTCTTCTGCCACACTTGCTTGTCAGATACATGTCTCTGAATTACTCTCTATATTTTTTTTTTCAAAAACAGGTCTCTCTCACATTGGCCTTCATTTGATATGGATCCATGACTGATTTTGATGCTATAATAGAACATCGTCCACTTACTGCATACATTGCATTTTTCTGCCAGTCATGAATTTACTTCACATGCATACACTTGTCTCTGAAAGAAAACATTGCAACTTGAAACTGATGTGGTCTTTAAAAAAAAATCCCTAACAGTAAATCATACCATATTCCACTTTCTTCCCACTCTCTGCGCTAAACAATTTAACAGTTAATGAAAGGTTCACAGAAAAATGCACTTGCATTCGGAAGCGAACCACAATACAGACTGCTGGTAACAAAGCCCTTGCCTTTTTAAATGCATGATGGTCTCTAAGTAGCACAGAAATCGTAACCCAAAAAAGCACGTCTCCCGTCTTCCAATGTACTGTGGCAGTTGACACCCTATTTTCTTTACCTCGCTTTTTACACCATGCTACATATAGTTCGTGCTTCTGTAGCCTGGGATTGGCGAGAGCATCTGTGAGGCGCACGCAGGACTCATGCTCGGAGCACCCTGCAACCCCTGATCAGCTCTTTATGGGGGTGTCTCCCTCCCTCCCTCCCCCCCGCTGCGGGCAGCCTCGGCAAGCCCGCCCAGCTGGGTGGCTTCTGGGCTGGAGCCGGGCAAGCACCCGCTCCCCCGGAGGTCGGAGCTGTCCTTCCCCTGCAAAGCGACGGGCGAGGCGGTGGGAGCGGCGAGCCGCCCTCCCCTGCGGAGCCTGCCCGGAGGCTGAGGGGGCCCGGCAGCCCCCGGCCGGGCCCGGCGCTTCTGCCCGGCTGCCGGAGCCCTCCTGCTCCTGCTCCCGCTCCCGCTCCCGCTCCCGGAGCCCTCCTGCTCCTGCTCCTGCTCCCGCTCCCGGAGCCCTCCCGCTCCCGCTCCCGCTCCCGCTCCCGCTCCCGCTCCCGGAGCCCTCCTGCTCCTGCTCCCGCTCCCGGAGCCCTCCTGCTCCTGCTCCCGCTCCCGCTCCCGCTCCCGCTCCCGCTCCCGCTCCTGCTCCCGCTCCCGGAGCCCTCCCTGCTCCTGCTCCCGCTCCCGCTCCCACTCCGGCTCCCGCTCCCGCTCCCGCTCCCGCTCCCGCTCCTGCTCCCGGAGCCCTCCTGCTCCTGCTCCTGCTCCCGCTCCTGGAGCCCTCCTGCTCCTGCTCCTGCTCCCGCTCCCGCTCCCTGGACACCTAAATGAAGGGAAGAGGGCTGTCTGGGGCTATTCCCTCGGGAATGAGACGCGGAGGGGCTCGGGAGGTATTTACACACTACCAGTCTTTTGTACAAAAACCAAAAGGACCAACCAAAGCAAAGCAAAAAGCCGCCAGGCTGCCGCCTGGCATTCCTATTTTTTTCTGAGTCATCCAGCCCAACGTGAGTAGGGGGGTATGCTCCGGTCTGGGAGTGCTCAGCGCTGGAAATGAACCACCAGGGCTAATGGGAATCTTCTGTATTAAGAATACCTCATGCTCGACTGTTGCAATCGCCCATTAAGCCCACCTTAATTGCGTTGATTTATTGGATGTTTGTATGCAAAGGGTTTGACATGTGTCCCCCTCTTCGCTTTCTGCTGAGTACAGAAACGCCACCTGGCCCAACCTGTGCCAGTTTTACTGCCCAGACACTGCTTTCCTGCCATTCATCACTGTGACTGTGATCTAAACAACTCCACTGCCTTTATCCTGTGTCCTACCATCTCCCACCCCCGTCGGCACAGAGGGAATATAGAGTGCTCTTAAACCTGGAAAATATTCTGCTGATGGGCACATAAATCTCTTCTGCAGAGCTCTGTCATTTAACTAGCAAGGCGAGGTGATGCTCACTGGGTGAGCTACTTCCACAGCGAGTTAATACCTCAGGACTTCCTGGGATTTTTTTCCCCAAGGTTTAGGTGGGAAAAAAAAAAAAAAATCAGGTAGAGCTTTTGAAACGCGCTTACCTAGGTAATCCTCTATAGCTGGGAAGGGGGTATGATTGCACGGAAACTTTCCAGAGCAGCCTGGTGCGGGAGGATCCCAGCAGCAGCAGAGTCGGAGGCGGGTAATTCTGGGGAAATGGCGGGGATTTGGTTAATCAGCCCGGTCCCGTGCGGAGGGGCCCGAGGGCAGCGGGGAAACCTTCCGGGAGGAGAGACCCCGAGAAAAGGGCGCTTGGGAGAGAAGTAGGCATGGGGGGGTTCGAGCTGCTGGGAGAAGAGAGGAGCTGGAGGAGGGATGGGTTTTGGATCCCACGCTTGAAGGGCTTTCTCACTCCCTCTCTCCCGACATCAGCCAGCAATTTGGAGGCGGGTGGGGTGGGTGGGTGTGGGGGAAGAGGAGTGGGGGGAGCACTCTCAGGAGCACGGTATTGAAGGGGGCATTGATCTTTTCCGTCCTCTGCTTGCCACCAGGCAATAAATTCGGATCTCCTGTATTTCTCTCTGGCATCTCTACCTGCTTGCAAGCCTTTAGCACCTTCCGTGTGATCTCTGCATGTACTGTTTTGGAGACATGACTGCACACACACACACACACTTATCTAGCACACCAAATGACCGAGTTAAACGGAGCCCAGTCAATACATCCCTGGGAGAAGTAACATGTTCCCTCCCTACCTCCTGCTGTTTAACGTGGGTGAATGCCGCTAATTAGAGACACAGAAATACTGGAAGTATTAGCCACAAATAGCACTCTGAAGGCATTTGTCCTTTTTTTTTTTTTTTTTTTTTTTTTAACAAAAAGTGTTTATTTCCTTTGGTCCTCTTCTTCATTTTTCTTTCAAAGTAAAGAAGCCCCTACTTGATTCCAAAGATACTCTGCGCTTCCAAACGCGCCAGGTGGACACACATGCGAATGTACGTTTTGTGAAGACGACGCCTCGCCCCTACCCAGCGCTCCTCAGGCCGGCAAAAATACAGGTATTGCCGAAAGTAGCCCTCGGTAAAGCCGGCAGGCGCACCGGGGGGCAGGCGGCGGGTAGGCAGGAGCCGCCCGGAGCCCCCCAGCCCCGGAGCCCCCCCCGGCGCGCCGTCCCCTGCCTGCCCCGGCCGCGGGACGGATTTAATGAAGTCTGGAAATCCTTTCCTATCCCTCCTGGAGAATACTTCCCCATCCCAATCCAATCCAAGCTTCCTCAGGGGATCAGGAAGAGTAATGAACTTTTCCACCTTACCTCCCCACGCAGACTTGAAGACACTCCTTTAGACACGCTCACGACTCCCTTAACCACCAGCGATTTCTGTCCATCCTCCTACACCGGGAGAAATACTGAGCCCTACCATCAGCCATGCGAGCGGCTGTATCTGCAAGGGTTAAACTATGTAGCAGGCACAGCGCCTGATGAAAACATTAATAAAATGCGATGAATAAGCGCTGGAATGGCAAAGACTCGGCGAGTGAGACTGCGGTGCGGATTGCAAGTTAGTGCCGAGAGCGGTGACTATCGTGCGGAATGGACGTGGGCAAGCAGGGCTGGTGCTTCGTAATTTCTTCGAGTTCAGAAAGTGGAGCCAGCCAGGCTACTGGAAGGTTCAGGTGCAAGGCGAGGCAACTGAGACGTTTCTTTTATTTTATTCCCTTCTCTCCGCCCCCCCCCCCCCTCCCCCCTTTTCTGTTAAAGTGTAGCCTTTTGGTTGAAAACAAGCAATCTGATCGTGAAATAAAACCTACTCACCAGGGTGAAATTGCAGGAAGCGAAGCGGCTGTGAGCAAAATGCATCCCGACTCCAAGCGTAGAGTCCATGATCTTCGGCTTCAAGCTAGAGGGCTTTGCATGGTGGTGGGACGGTAGAAACCAGCAGCAGCTCTGAGTGGCACAGCAGCAAGTATAAGAAACCATTCGCACCATGCGTGCCTGTGTGTGTGTGTGTAGGGGACAGACAGCCTCAAGACCCAAAAGGGGGGGGGGGGGGGGGGGGGGGCGGCGAAGAGATGGGGGAGGAGGAGGAGAGAGGGAAGGAAATCCGAATAGCAAGAGGGGTTGCGGGGAGGGATGGGATTTGCTGGGGCTGGGGTGGGTTTTTTTTGCTGGTGGTGGTAGTGGTCCTCAAGGAAAGAATAACAACCTGCTGGATCTCACCAGCGGGCTGGAGGAGAGGGGTGTCGCCAAGGCAGGCGGAGCGGAGGCGAAGCCGCACCGAGCAGCGGGAGGCCGGAGCGAGCCGAGGCGGCCCGGCGAGGGGCGAGAGGGGCTCATCCCGCCGGCTGCGGCGCTGGGGAGGGGGCTGCTCGCCCCGCGGAGCTCTCCGCGCCCGGGCAGGATCCGCGGGACTCGGCCGATCGCCCCTCGGGGAGTGAGGGGGGCGGGGGAGGGAGAGGGGGCCGCCTGCGCGGCGGGGAGCGGGGGAGCCGCGGAGTGGGGGGGGGACACGGGACGGCGCCACCTCCGCCCGGGGGAGCGACCCAGCCCGGGGTGGGGAGGGGGGGCCCGGCCCGGCCGAGGGCAGTCCGCGGAGGGGGGGCCCGGCCCGGGCCGGGGGGCTGGGGGGGGGGGGGGCCAGCAGCCCGCTGCTGGGCTGCGCGGCGCCCGCTCCTCCTCCTCCTCCTCCTCCTCCTCCCACCGCCCAGCGAGCCTCAGCGGCCGTATCGACCGGGTAAGAGGACCCCTGCTCTCCGCCTCTCCCCCTACCCTCGGCCAAGCCTTTGTTTCAGATTTATTTTTTTATTTTTTTTTTTTTTTCCCTTCCCACCGCAGCCGGCGGCACCTGCCTGCCCGCCCCACGCCCCCGCGTCCCGGCCGGGCCCGCTCTGCATCCCCGGCAGGGAGAGGCGGCGGCGGGGGCCTTTGCGTGGGGAACCGGCCTCTCGGAGCCACGCGAGGCGGTGGACATCGCGGCGAGAAACATTAGTGGGGTAGGGGTAGAGGAGTGGGCGGATATCCTTCTAATCAGCCGTGCCCCTCTCCCTGCCCTGGGTAAGCGAAGCATCCCCCGCCTCCGTTCCCCCCCCTCCCGGCGCTTCTGGGCTCTCTGCATGGAAATCACGAGCTGGGTCGGTGGAAAAATCTCCCTTTTCCTCTCATAGTGGCTCCGGGGTGTGTGCTGAATTTCAAGGTGTGTGTGGGAGGGGGAGGCTGCGCCAGCATTTATGGAGCTTGGGGGGTGTGTGTGTCCCCTCCCCCGGTCCCTCGCCTATATATGAGCTGTAAGCAGACACTCTCGTTTATGACTAATAAAAACGTATTTGCTATGTATAGTTAGGCAGAGAGCTTGGTACTAGTAAACTGAAAGCCAGCACAGCCTACAAATCAACAAGAAGCTTTGGCATCCCTGCATGCCGGTGCGATAGCCTGGCTGTGTTCACACCATGCTTCCCAGGATCAGTAAGCACAGTGACCATATAGACTATGGGATGTATACGTTGGACAATATGGAGTGACCACCAGTATTCCACCAGCACTTGACCGTTGTGCTACGTGTGGTCTTCAAAAGAGACTGTCATTTCTGTTGAGCTTTTTGATCAAGAAGGTTTTTGTCTTCACTCAATTATCTCTCTAAGCACCGGTGTGGAGTGTACATTTGCCAGTCTGGCAGTTTTATGTTTTCAGAATCTGTTGTAAGAGGTTCGGCAGCTGCACAAACCCAAGATTCCTCTGGCATCACATTGTTTTGTTCCTGTCAGCATGCTTAATCATTTTCATACCAGAGAACTGTGGAGTGATCTGATCTCAGCAGTGATTTAGCCTGCTTTGGTTTTTATCGTCTTTTTTTTTGGAGAGGAGGGAGGAAAAGGGGTGAAGGAAGGATGTTATGGTTAGTAAAGAAAAAAATGCAGTGTCCATTTCAAGTGTAGTAGCTGTTAAATGTGCAGGCATGTATATGATTCATTATGCAGTTATAAAAACAAAAGACGTACCATCTTGCCTCTTTGCCTCAGAATACAATTTCTCTTACAGCAACAAATAGCACAGGCTCCTCTCCCCCTCTCCTCTCCCCCTCCTGACTTCAGCCCATCCTGACAAAATGCCAGTTACAAAGGTCAGCCTGTTTATGTAAAGATCACTGTGTTTCTTAACAAAGACTGCTGCACATCAAGCCTGCAATGACTATCAGATAGACTTTTGGATTCAAGACACTCAATAAGAGTACTGTCCATTTTCTGAAACTTATAAAATCCCAGAGAAAACAAAAGACAAAGACGTAGTGTGTGAATGGGATGGATTGACAGTGCCAGAGTGCACACGAGCAGCAATATCGTCATAGCAGTGTTTGTTACTGCCAATGCTAGCAAGATCCAATGGATATTTTTGTGTGTGTGAGTATGTGTGTGAAATGTATATATAAAAAAAAAAAAAAGATTTGCTGATAGGCTAATGGTTTTCTGCTCTTCTCTTTAGGTTTCTTGCAAACCGCGGTGATGTGCTAAGCTGAACTTGCTCTGCAGCCACTTCACACCAAAGGTGGCTTAAATCAGCCAAGGAGAATTTTGAGCCTGACCAGCTCCACGCTCCCAATAGAAGAGAAAAGATTGACTTCACTAACACTTCACTCAGACCCTTCACAATTAGGTCCAATTTGCATTTCATAGCATCCAGAGGTGCAGTGGGCTTAGTTTGCTCTTTATTTCACTGTGCTCCCTTTCCCTCCCTGCCAACTTCTTTTATCTAGAGAGCAGCACAACTTTGTTTTCTCTACCAGTATCACCTCTTCTGGTCCTTTCCCACTCTAATAAGCGTATTCTGACATTATTCATTTGTGCGTATACGTCCAATACCTAAAGGTTAAAAAAAGTTACCTTGGAGTAACAACACAGATCTTCCACCAAGACCTAATTGCCACCACAGTTCCTTTTTTAGCCCTTAAAATAGTCCTGAAGCAGAGTTAAAGTGTTGTAGAGGACTATCATGCCTTTTGTTCAATGGTGTTAATAAACAGTGGCCTTAGAATGTAATATTACAAAATCTCATCATAGGGCAGAATACTGAAATTACAAGCAGTGGAAAAAAATTGTACTTAAATGGGGCAGGAATTTACACCACCTGCTGAAAATGCTAAATCCAGACTTGGGACCCAGTCTTAACTGCGGAGCTGCACAGCATCATGTGAGAGGGGAGAGGCACATCAAGTCCTCCCAACCTAAAAGCCTTGTGGCCCTGAATTACAGGTTAATAGATTCTTTTGTTCTGTAAATCTGCATTAAATAGCAGTATTTATCTGTGTTGGTAGATGCACATTTTAACAAGGTATTCCATAACATTTTATTTTTTATACTTCATATAATCAGGCTTTTGACCCTCTTTCTTCCAGAACCTGCTGCATGTTTCTCTTTAGCTACTGAAAAATGTATGCAATTTTTAAGCCAGTTCAGCAGTTACCCTTAGTTTGCAACAGACAAACCTATTATGCAAACAATACTGTCACCTTCTTAAAGTGCCTTCCTTCTCCCAGCTATAATGAATTCTCTGCATGCTACTCTGCTGTAAATTCTCCATCTAAATATTCCATCCACTACATGTTTTTTTCAGGGGAAACAGTACCTGACTTTTGAAACAGTTGGGAGGAGCAAAATGATAACCTACTAAAGTGCCTTGCCCTTAACTGAAATTATGGCGAAGTAATTAAAGTTAGAGCAAAGAGGCTTAAGCTTTGGACTGCTTATGTTCTTAGTGTTTTTGCTTGGGTGAGTTTTTTTTAGAAGTCTGATTTGAATGTCAAATTTGCATATTCTGCTTGAAAACATAGGGAATGCTTAATTGCCTATGTCCCATGTTCATATTTTCATTGAAAACAATGTGTCACGTATTCCTGGGTTGCATTTCTAGTTACTATTCGCATCCATAAATTGAACTGCTTATCTAAAGTCCTGTATTTTCTCATTATAGAAACAAATATGCTTTATTTAGAATTTTTCTTTATAGACATATCAAAGAAACATGTAATTGCAGAGCAGCCCAGGTTGGAAGGAATCTCAGAAGATCCTTTAGCCCAACGTTTCATGGGAAAGGGAGCCTGGATGAGATTGTCTGGCACCCTGTCCAAACACATCTTGAAAACCTCCAGCGATGGGGACCCTAACCCATCTCTGGGGAGGTTGTTCCAGTGAACAATTATTCTTACTGTAAAAAAATTCTTTCTTATGTTGAGATGAAACTTCTCCCAGTGCAACTTGTACCCATTGCCCCTTGTCTTCTCCATGTAGTTCCTTGTGATGAGAGAGCCCCCATACTTTTTGTAGCTGCCCTCTAAGTACTGAGACACTGTGATGAGGTCCCTCTAAGCCTTCTCTTCTTCGGCAAGAAAAGACCTATCTCCTTCAGTATTTCCTCACAGGGCAGGTTCTCCAGCCCTTTGATCATCTTTATGGCCTTCCTTTGGACCCTCACCAGTCTGTCCACTTTTTCTTAAATTGTGGGGACCAGAATGGCACAGAGTACTCCAGGTGCAGCATCACAAGCAATGAGTAGAATGGGATGATCACATCAGCATCATACATCTCTTAGCAATGTCCCTGCAGATGCAGCCCAGGAACCAATTTGCCTTTGTTGCTGCAGCAGCATGCTGTTGACTCATGTTCAGCTTGTTGTCCACTAGCAACAAATTTCGACCTATACATTTTTGCTTTAACAGAGATATGATTCACTTGAATAAAATTATATCCACTGACTTTATTTTCTTGTAGAGGAGATTATTTTTAGGATTTTCCAACATTTCACTTGCAGGGAATGAACTAGTACTGTAGAAATTCTTTAATTTCTCCCCCAAAATTAGATCAAAGAAATACAGCATTATCAATGAGTGCATACTCACTTGCTCTATCCTTTTGCAACAGAGGACAAACTTAAAGCATTGTTTTTTGTGTGTTTGTTTCTTTGAGGCTCTTGCTATCATTAAAACACCAGTCTTCTGGGATAGGATAACCTCTCTGAAGAGATGCTATTTCTCTACTGCTTTCAGAAGATACTAATTGCAAGACCTGTAAGGTCACAACAACTCACTAGATATAGCTAAACACACATGTCTAAAAGGGATACAATAGCAGTTGAGATGTGGAGGCATGAACTTCTCTAGGGATTGGAAATCTACTGCCCCCTTGGAAGTTTTAAGTCTGTTTTGTAGAATCTTCACAGCTGTTATTATCTGTGCTACATAGGGTGCTACAAGATTGCCTCCTTGCACTTCAAATGCACACAGCAGCCTGAACAAGAAACTATGTCTTTGAACAAACACGCTGATTTAATGTCTGTCCTGTGATAGGCATTGTCTATAATTGAAAAATTTTCCTTAGCACATAAAGCAGGTGATGACTGCTATCACATGGCTTGATAGGTAAAATCAGATGAGTTCTTTAAAGTGTTCCCAACCTTGACATTAGAACTGAAGCCGGCAGCAGAAAATTAAGTAATTGTCTTAAAATCTGTAGGACAATGACAATAATATGTTACAGTACTGTTACTGACTTCTTTTTCTATTTTTTTAAGGCATATTTTGGCCATGATTCCATGACCAATGGCCATGCATGCAAAAATAGGGTTTCAGGATTTTTAAGATAACTTTTAATGTATTCAGGTATTCACTTTTTCTTTCTAGCTAGACTTTAGAAAATTGCAAAAGTCTGTTACTTTCATGAAAATATAAAGATATAAAGGAGGAGATGCATTTTAAGTCATGTTGAAGCATTGTGGTGGAGAGTCCTATGCATCAAACGCCTAGTTTTCTTAGGGAAAATTTATTTTCAGGGACTTAGTAGCCCAGTACCAGAAGGAATGTCCTATGAAAGTAGTGCAATACATAGTTTCAGCAGCTGATATGATAGAAAAGCTAAGACCCTTTTCTGTCCATGACACCTTTATGAATATTTGCAGAAGTAAAATATATAATTGTCAGAATGTATAAAAGAGACTTGTCATGGACAGAAAAGGGTACAACATACTGGTATCAGTGAAATTCTCAGTTGATGCTTTGCAGTGTCAAGGAATTACACACTAGAAAGGTAGAGTTTTACAGCGTGGTTATGCTGGGAATAAAAGGGCATGTAGGGAAAGCAATTTGCATTTGGAAAATAGATTATTTTACAGATATTGCTTCAAATTGATAGTCATTCCCTGAATAACATCTGGTGCATTATCTCCATAGGTGTGGTTATCTCCCATAGAAATGAGCTCAGCAAAAGATCTGTAGTAAGATTTGAAATAACCTTTGTTGTTATATGTCATTACCTCATAAGAATCAAAATACATGGGCCACTAATGACAATGAACAAGAACAATACAGTTTCTTGAACAGTCTCTTCAATGCATTTCAGTCTCTAGCATGCACTTAAAATACAGCAATATTACAAGCATTTATCATTTGCCTGGGCTGTGGAGCTAATGAGATAGAAAAAGCGTGAAGAATTTGGATGAATGAACTCCATTTATGTAATTTCCAACTCAAACATAATGATATGAAAAATAAGTAATATATGTATAAAGTCTTTTTTTTTTTTTTTTTTTTTTTTTTACAGTTCTTGTCTTGCAACAGCTTGGGTTGGATCACTGGCACACAACAGGTATGTGTTCTTGTCAGCAGCAGCCATCACCCTTGCAACGTTTCTACTTCCTGACTGGTGGAGGACTGATACTAGGAAGATGCTAAGTTCTCTTCTCAGTCACAAAGGAAAGGAGGCAGTAAAAAGATGTCTCTTATGTCATTTATTTGATTATGTTCTCCATTTGTCAAAGCAGTGGAGCACAAAGCCCAAATGTATTTTGTGAAGCACTCTGGAATCTGGTTGGTTTTAAGCATGCTCTTAAAAACTTCGACAAACAAGGATGGCTTTGTATCTTACTCTCTAGTATGTGTTCTGCCAATTCATATGGCAGCAGTAATTTATACAATTAAAGTGGTGCAAATGTCTTTACCAGAAAGCCATATTTTCAGTTGCATTTATTTAAATGACATTGGAGGGAAAGTAAATAAAATTTTAGGACCTGATTCAAAAAACATGTGCATCCAGTTTTGAGTTAGCTGTCTTGATTTTGCTCAACCTTAGAAATAACACTCACTTTTTAGCAGAAACCTCTGATACAGAACACTGTAAGTCATGTTCCCATTTCGAACATTAGGAGATCAGACATCTGTTTCCTTGGGTTTTTTTTCCAGATAAAGACATGAAAAGCAACACTAACAAAACTTATTAACATAGGATAATCTCAATGTCCCCCTTAGTTGTGCACTTTACATGGCTAGGTAAAAAAACCCACAGCAACAAAACAACCCTAAGGTAACATTTTTGTTTGGACTGTCTAGAGGCAATAGAAGGTCTTTTCAACCAAGCGCTGGAGTTTTTTGGGCAGTTTATTGTCAGTATATAAAATAATTGGCAGTTGCTTTTTTGAGACAATTAAGCACTGTTAGAGTCTGAATAAATTTTGTAGCCAAAACCAGATGTATTAATCCAAATATGGTTGGTATGGAGTTAACCAATCTATACCCTACAACTAACTGTACTTTACAGTTAATGCTCCAGTCATTGTCTATCCTTAAGAAATAATTGTAGCATCATTTTTTTTTTTTTCAAATTCAGTAGTCAGCACTATTGTCCTGCTAGTGCAAAGAATTGCATAAATAGTAAAAAAAATAAAATGCAGTTACAAGTCCATGAAGAAAACATTTACAGTTCTCTGATTTCTGCATCAGTAAAACAATCTTCTCTGTATAGTTAAAAAAATCAGACAGCAAGGTCAAGATTATTAACTTGTTCTACTCACAAAAATAAAAGGAATTCTCAAAAATGAATTTTCCTTTCATAATAAGAGAAGTAGAGATCTACTTCACACCTTCAGAACAAGATACTCACTAAAAAAGTGAGCCGCACCACCAAATACTGTGATTAGAAAATTATAATGACACAGTATGTAGTTTAGTTTGTTACAGAACAGTCAAACCCGTTGCTTAGGGCCTCAGGTGCCTACCCGATTAGTTAACCCACCACAGCCTCCTAGGCCAGTTTTAGAAATGGAGAAGTTGTTCTGCCTCAGCAATTGCAGGGTTTTTGAAACAGAATGGTCTTGTCTGTCAAATACTATAGCTCCATGCAGATTTCCTTTCTCACTAATCTCAAATTCTGTTAAATGCTTTTCTATGATCCTAAGAAAGGTAGGAAAACACAGAAAACAAGAACAAAAACTTAAGAATGTGGGAGTACTTCCTCATACAAGTAGTACTAATATTATTAAGCTGGCTTTTGCCACAATGTTTCATTCTCTAAGTAACTGTCAGTCACCATCAATATTTCTCTAAGTGAGTTTTGTGTTTGTCCTTGTATGGTCATGTATTTCCTTGCGAACTGAACACAGTTTGTACTTTTCGTGCTACTCTAATTGTGAATGATCACACACAAAAATAAGCTATTCACATAAACATGGAGGCTCCAGTGGCCTCAATTTGTTCTGTGATTTTGCTGTAAGGTATGTATGGGATTGGTGAACCCAGTAGGGGTTAGGGACAGCCCCTGCTGGAGATGGATAATATTTATTGGTATTTGACATCTTAAGTGAAGCTAAAGTCTTACATAATGCAGGGGGAGATTTATTAGGGAGCCTAAAAGGCTTTAGCACATATTAGTAAGCACCTGTGGGACCCCATGCATGAGCCCTGTGATGTGGACGTGAGCATACAGCACTCAGTTTGCTTTGGTTGTAGGTGGACTGTGGCTTAGGCACTTAGGCACACAACTGGTGAGTATAAATAAAGGATCTTATCACTTCCTTGATCCTCCATCCACATTGCCTGCTATTGTCCCCTTATGCTTACTTGTTATGCTTTGATACTAGTGAGGCTGGAATTTTTTTTTTGGTTAAACAGTTCTGGCTTATTTTAAGTTTGCACACATGGCCCTTGCAGGACCCCAACACTGCCTTGTGGTAATGTGACAGCACGGCAGAAGGAGAGGAGATGCTGCTAATCTGTGAAATGCTGTCACCTAGAGATCAATTCCACCAGTGAGGTCAACTGTGTATAACTTGGAAATAGTTTTACGTGTTTTGTATTTAAAGAATTATTAAAATATGAAAAAAAAAGCTGGTATGGAAATACATATTTTTTATAATGTCAGCAAAATAAGATGGTAAAATTGTTCCTGATTTGCTTGCAAAATAGAAGTAATACAAAACATAGAGGTTTTAATTAGAACAATTCCTGTGGCTAAAGTAGCTAATAGATCAGACACTAGATCATTTCAGTTGTCAGTGGATATTTGGGTTACTGAATACTTCTTTTTCTGAGCCATATAGGGCAGATACTTGTTGCTGGATCAGATCCTTCGTACTCTGCCTTGCAGATTGCTAGCAGGTAAGCCTGATAACTAAAAGTTTTACTCTAGATCTGAGAAAATTTGCTCTTTTTCACCTTTCTGTAGGTCAATTTCTGACAAAATTTACCAGGCATTTCACTGACAACTTGCAATCAACTTCAATTGTAAATACATTTAAGGACTGCATTTTAACTGCATATAATGTAAACTTGCAATTAATCTAAAAAAAAACCATACGTAGACTCAAATCTTCCAGTTCTTTCAAAATACAAAATTCTTATAATAACAAGCCTCTTTCACTTTTAGAAGCCTGTGAAGAAATGGACTTAGCAACATATACTGATGGCCACTGGATCTTAGTTTTTTTTCAAGTGTTAAATGTTTCTATAGAGATGCAAGATAAATGTTTTTAAAATTTTTTTAACATCCCATTCTTTCAGCACTTCATTTTGTTCATCTCATGTTTGCACGTAGATGATCTTATTCTGCAAGGTACCATATGTGACAGATAATAAAAAGATGCCTAATAAATAAAGTAATATTTTATGCTTTTCACAGGTAATTGTGGTGCAATTTACAGTGGCTTAGTTAAAAAACTTATCTTCCTGTAGGGCTGTAAAGTTGGCAAGCAGCAAAGAAGAACTCTTCTGCAAAGTCTGCCAATGTATCCACTGTTTATATTGGCACTGGGAGTATTTTCCATTCTCAAATCACCAATTGGAACAATGAAGTAATTTTAAGTTATGCTGTTCCTTAATGTGCTTGTTGCACAGTAATTACTGTATCATCACCTGCAACATCTTGCAGTGATAGAAAATTAAAACCATTATCCTAACAAGTTTTCTATAGGATTTTTCATTCAAGTTAGCTAATGGACATGCAGAGTGATCCTACTAGCCTTTTAATGAAAATCTACTTCTACACCCAAAGTTATTCCCGTCCTACTCAGACACTAATATTATTTACAGAATCCTCTCCCAAAACATGTGACTACAGTGACTGATGTCTCTGGCCAGTCTTAAATATGGTCTTATTTTGGTCACAGAAAACCTTTCCTGGAGTATATAATTACATAAGCTCTTCCTCTCCTCAACAATCACAAATATATAAACTTCGGCCTCTAAGTAGCTGAAGAAAAGTTTCTTTCAAATTTATTTCGGTAATGTGTCGTAAAGATAAGATTTCTAAGTACATTCACAACGACGTAACTCTTAACCGCTGAAGCTGGTAGAAATTGTACATGAACCATGCAGAAAGTGCTCTGCATACCTCCTGTGATACAAATAATTTATGCTTGTGGTGGGTTGACCTTGGCTAGCTGCCAGATGCCCACCCAGCCACTCTCTCACTCCACCGCTCAACAGGATAGGCAGACAAAATAACATGAAAAAGCTTGTGGGTTGAGATAAGGGCAGGAAGATCACCTACCAGTTACTGTCATGGGCCAAACATACTCAAATTGGTGAAAAGTAATTTCATTTGTTGCCAGTTAAAATAGACTTGGTAAACCAGTAACAAAGGCAGGAAATTCAGCCAGCACCTTCTCTCCCTGCTTTTCCCCAGACTGAACTTTGCTCCTTCATTCCCAGCTTCTCTGCATCTCTCCCCAATCTGAACTTCACAGGGAGATGGGGAATGGGGGTTGTGGTCAGTCCATAACAGCTCCTCTCTGCCAACCCTTCCTTCTGACGCTTTTCCCTGCTCCTTTGTGGTCTTCTCCACGGGCTGCAGGGGAATCTCTTCTCTGGCTTCTGGAGCACCTCCTCCCCCTCCTGCTCCGCTGACCTTGGTGTCTGCAGGGCTGTCTCTCACACTTTGTTCCCTCACTCCTCTTGTCTTTCCAGAAATGTTGCCCTTTTTAAAATACATTTTCTCAGAGACACCACCAGCATCACTGACAGGCAGCTTTGTCTATGCTTTTTCTTTGAAGAAAGATGGAATAGACTTTCCAGATGAACTTATAGCTATATGAAAAGAGACCTTTGTTCAGTTCAGATTTTCAGTTTATCTGATGCTTCTCATAACACTTACCTGTGTGTTTATCTTTGCTCAGGTGCTTATATGCTGTCATAAAGAGAAATGGATCAAAAATTATGCCTGAGTGCTTTCCTGAGCAATGGCCAAAATCTATACATAAATGGAAGAGAGTTTGTTCTAGTTTATTTTAAAGATATTATAGGGGGAAAAAAAAATTGGCAAGCACATTCCATAAGTTTTCAAGGTAGGCAATGAAGTAAATACAAAGTCAAGAGAGAAGAGGTCCTCTTATTTGTATGCCAGCTTCTTCAGCTCTTGCTATAGGAGACAGAATAGAATTTTCCCCAGGACTTTATCAACTTTGTTAATTTGCCTCTATTCTGAAATCCTTATGAAAAAAAAAGATCAGCATAAGAGGACAAGACAATTTCTGTCCAGTGCCAAAGTACAGTGAAACTACAAGGAAATAACAAGGCAATTCCTATAAGGATAAAGGAGCAAATACTCAGAGGGCAGATGCAGTAAAAATGTACAAATGTATTGCATCATGGTATACTGAAGAAGATACAAAGCAGTCTCAAGTTTCTTTTCCAGTCTGCTTTTGAGAGAGGGAGATACACCAGAGAGCACATAACA